GGGATTGGGTGAAGCAATTTCATGTAATGTAATATTACGAAATGCAATGTAATTTCATGTAAGGTTCTGCACAAGGACCTTTGATCCCCTCTATGGCTTACTTGCCTCTCCACTTGCCTTTACTATCATAATGTCATAATTTCACTCTCTAAGTGATTAGTCTCCTGGGCGATTAGTTTTGATCTTCGGGCACGTCCTTCGCTTAGGAGTTCACTGTAGTAGGTCGTACTCAGTTGCTGGAGGGAAGGGTGTGGTCCTATTCATTGGGTGATGTTGGTCGTACTGGCCTATCGCTTCTAGAAGGAGGAGGGGATTCCTTGCCGCTCCGTCCGAAAATGGGAGGGGTTCCATGCGCGAGAAATTTTTTTCTAGTGGTTAACTTTCTTGGTTTTTCCCGCTTCGTACGTGCTAATATCCTTCCCTCGGAAAACAAGTAAATTCTCAGAAAATGTTGGCAACAGTGGTAGAAAGTAGGGAAAAGTCAGTGGAATGAAAAGGGATGGGAGAGGGTCGTGAAAAGGGTACCTCGGTCCGCCTCGCACTTGGTCTACCTCGTAGGGTGGCAGCTCACGCGCTATATAGTGTCATTGAGGATCTTGTTTCATCTTTTATTCCGTGGTTTTGGTCAGTTTTTCTGATACTTCTGCACTTTCTCCACAATTCCGTTCTTCTCGAAACTCGTAATCAGAAAATTTTGTTTTTATTACATTTGTGAGCATTGTCGTCGTAGTTTACGATGTCAGTTTATGACGAATTTTTGAACTAATTTTTAACTCTTTCCAGTATGGTCTTCGTACAGGTGGAACTGAAACATACTGCACAAGTTCAAGATTTGATCGGCTTCTTGGTAAGTTTGAGGTTGTTCGGCGCCACTTGGCCATTACTGGCTCACTTTTCAAAATTCGGCCTTGTTTATTTGTCTCTGGGAGCTGTTTCGGCTAAATCTGACTGGGCGGGAGGGGGGGCGGAGGTACTTTGACACGGAATTCCAGTATGTCCGGACGGCCAGGAACGTTAGCCCACCTACTGGGCCACCCGATCCGAAAAAGATCCGCGGCCCGTAGCGCGTGTGACAAACGCGCCAAATGAGTGCCACTCCTATCCGTGTTGAGGAGTGAAAAATCTTTAGAGGGGAGAGGTCAGACCAACCTTCTTCCAAGGATAATCTGGAGAATATTAGAGCCCGAATTCTCAAAAGAAGAGACAGTAACGGTTCATTTTTCTTTCTATTAGTCGCTCTACAAGGAGGGTTTTAGGCTTTTGCCCTCTTCAGCCAGAAAGATCATGGGATGTAAGTATTCGCCATTTATGTGTTCATTCGCTGGCCTTCCAAATCTCGATGTGCCACTTTCGAAACACTTTCTGCCATTACAAGGTTACAGTATCTTTATGGAGAACAATTGTAATGTAGACGACCTCCCCCCCCTCCCGAAATTTCTCTGGTACGGTACGGTCCTTCCTCTCTACTTTCCAGTTTTTGTCCCGACGATATGCACTCTAGCTCGAGGGCGGGGAGGGGGAAAGGAGGGGACGGATCTTAACGGTAACTTCAACTATTGAAACTATCGAATGTAGTTGTATTAGTAGCTCTGCGGCGACGGGCTAGGGAAATATATGGTGAACATGAAACGGAAAAACTCTCGAAAATCCAACAACCGAAAAACTATTCATAGCTCCGAAAAACTACTGTCGAGACCAGATGCGTGCGACCCCATCGAGCGAATACGCCCCTCCCCTGATGGGATTCTTCCCATGATGCTGTACTCTGGCTGCACGTTCTCATGCGCACCTCTTGCCTGCCTTGCACACCGATCCGGTGAACATTGCCCTATTCCAGTTACAGCTGGAGGAAGTAATTAATACTTCGTTTAGCTTGCCCCACGATCGTACAACATTTCGTGATGACAGAGCAGGACTATTTTAGCAGGTATTTTCATGATGTGAGATACAATTAACGGTACTGTATCAGTAAGAGCGGACATCCTTTAGACTGCACAGCAATGAGGGCATCCATTCGCATCTTCCTTACCACCAACGACATTTAAAAAAAATCTCAGAAATGGTGTGTCCAATTAAAACAGGCCCATGAAGGAAATGGAGGGGTGAGAAGGTACCGTAACCAGAACGAACAACTGCACCAAAATGTCCTACCTTAGTGGAATAGTATGGAAAGTGCCACTGCTTGGAAGTCAGACATGTTGATTTTTTTTCAGGGTCGTCTACCTCAACGAATGTGTCGTGGGGGTCATGTAAACTTGTCGCCAAGAGCTTCAGTGGATCCCATGCAAGGAGAGTGCCCTACATTGCCTGAAGCTGCATCAGAGTATTCGATGACACCAGCGCCATCATCACCTTTTGTCGACCGAAAGCCCATTGCCGTGGAGGTTAACATCCCTTTACTTGGCTTTATTTTCCATTCCAAAACCACCGCGCGCTCGCCGCTCCCAGGTTGTAGGGCTGGAAATATCTAGGTCATGTGGTTAATGGGATGTTAGTAAAGAAAAAAGGCATTTCAACCCGTCGAAAACTCCTTAAATAAAGTCCCTGCCAGCTCTGAGCATTACTTGAGCAGGTACTCTCCACATCTCGAAAATGAGGAGGCGTGGCTGCGTGCTTCTTTGAGAAGTGGCGGCGGGTGCTTCTTTACAGAAGTACTGCCGTCGTTGGCGATGCTTTAATAGTGCAGAAAGAATAACAGTTGTTTCAAACGGAAATATCCCACAAAAAATTATCCTGCTCCATGATTAAATGGAGTACGCAGCCACGCCCTCTACGTTGCAGTGTTATGGTCTGTAGACTGAGTGTGTGAAAAAGAGAAGCAGGCTATGATACGGCTAGAACTGCGCCGCTATAGTAGTAGTAGCAGTGGTAGAGGTAGTAGTGGTAAATAGAAGTGATGATGGTGGATCCAGTACACGGAGGCGGAGCTAGCTTATCGTCATTGATCCGTGGCGCACTTAGACACTGCTCTGCGCTTGCATACTGCGCCACCTTGTTTAACGATAGATTATTGCCTGTCTGATAATCACGTTACCTTTGAATAGTGAATTTGACATTTGAGGCATACGATTCAATCGGAATGCGTTAGGGAATTGAACTGTTTTAAATAATAGCAGAATTCCTAGCATTTGTTTGACCCTCGAAGTATTGGTCAGGAGGTAGGGAAGCAGTTCCAGAGTCAATGATGGGAGGATGTTGAGCTACATCCGTTAGCGCACCTTTGGAGGCAGGGCACATCATTGTTGGGGATTCCCCTACAGGGAGGGAGGATCGTATCATTTGAGAAAAGAAAAAAATTTTCTGATGATTTTTCTTTTTTATTCAACTGCTATAAGGGGTCGAATATGCCTTCTGGCTGTCCTGAGAGCGAGGTTGTTGACTTTCTGTGGTTTTTCCTGCTGTCACTCCCCCCCCCTGTCGACGGCTCTTGAATGAAGAAGAAACTGGAGGGATCGTATTTAAGCCACTTTTGGGGAGCGAGTTCGAGCGCCCAGTTTGCACGACGGGGGAGCATTCTGCACTCTCGGGCTTGCACTAGTTCTCGTTCAACAACCTCACTCTGGTAGAACTGCAAAACTCTGTGATGAAGCTGGATTCAATCTCGCACAACGCATCATGTAAAAACTAGTCAGCCCAGGGAGCTGTATAGATGGGCGACACGTCGATGTGAAGTCGTTGAAGTGACCAAAATCCCTCATTCCACTACCGGCAACAGCGCGGGGGTTTGTACGGACTGACCAAAATTCAGAACCAGTGATGACTCAACGCTCCTTCATCACTGACTCTGCAACAGGTGCCCAGCTTCGTCAATATGTCCGTTGCCTTTCAAATTTTTTCACAGTGAGAATTTGTTGGCTGCGGGCTTAAAGGGTTCTAATGAGTCACTCCACTGATGGAGAAAGAAGTTTACAAAACCGTCGAGGGCGTCCTAAATCAAATCTAGAGTTGAACGGGATTTGCATGAAAGAGCTGTTTGTGTCACTCAAATTCTCCACTCACTGATGTTTACATCAATGGGTTTTTTCCAGATTATTGACGAAGACGAGAACGATTTGTCTATCGATCATTGTGATTCTTTCTTCTCTAACGAAGTAGAAGACAAACCAGGAAACTCTGGAGAATCTCAGAGCAATGGACAGGCTATAAACCGGAAAAGGAAATGGACAAGTGCAAATGAACTCGGTGAGTCAAATTCCCCCTTCATTTCGGCCAGGCTGGTGCAATGACTTGGGTTAAATCTTTTGCCCATGCCCAATATTGCAAAATGTAGCAGTCATGATAATAAAGCACTACGACTTTGCATTCCTTTTGGGCAGAAATCTGACTTTGCGATGACGCGCGTCGACGCGCTACCATCATAACAGCGCTCCTGCTATGCTATAGGCGGGAACGCAGCCGTAGTACGCGGTATTGATTTTCGCTGGCCGCTACTGCTTCGAGAGATTATAGAAGAATAGGAAGGTACTAAACTGTGTGATTAGGCAGCATGTACTCTACTACTTGCCCCTACTCCCTAGAGCAGCACCAGCCTGCGCCGATCAATACCCGCCTACGGCTGCGATCCTGTCTGTAGCATTGAAGCGCTGTTAGTGTAGCGCGTCGCCACCGTGAAGTATGAATGCAAGGAGAAAAGACGCGCAATTGAGGAAGGCACACTGGTCGTGAGACCCCCCCCCCCATCCGATTATTCGTAGTGTGCGTTTAAGGATGTTTGCTATTGAAGTTACGGAGGTTCCCATTTCGAAGGGATTAGTTGTGAATTTTGAATAGTTTTGAAAACGGGGGTCATCGAGGTGGGGTGGCCGTGCAGCAGCAGGCAAGGCCGACGGAGATTGTACCATCAGCTTAGTTCTGTTTTGTTTTTACTCTGAGTGAACTCTCATTCCAAAACATTCAGCTTTGTTCGGAAGCATGAAGCAGTTTAATCTCAACGTTTCCATCTTGAAAAGGAGACAAGTGCTGGGTCATACCGCTCAATGTTCGGTGAGTTTTATTCCAGTTCTCTCCCATATTTGGACCGCAAATTGAAGTTTTATCCGAGAACTTTTTTTAGATTTGTGAGAAACCAGTTCAAGCAACTCCGAAGGGTGCTTGCACTCCATTGTGGTACTAAGCATATGGATTTACGCTCGTGAGTTCTTATCTTTTTCTGAATATTCCTGCGCTGTTTGAGGACAGTGGGCGTGATTGCAGAAGGCGGGCTGTTGTCCCACGCGTCATTGGTGGAA